ATCAATTTTATTAGTCTATCCCTCTCTTCCAACTCATATGACTCTTTTACTAATAGTGAAGAAATCCTTCATTTAAAGTAACCGTAACAATATAAAAATATAAAAAGTATAAAAGTATAGAAAGTATAAAAGTATAAAATATAAGAAGTATAAAAGTATAAAAAGTATAAGAACATGAAGTAGAAAAAGTAGAAAAAGAATAAAAATATAGGAGTACAAAATAGAAAAAGTATAAAAAGTATAAGAGTACGAAGTAGAAAAATAAAAATACAAGAATACTATAATTAATAATATAAAGAAATTATGAAATGTTCTAAGTTATTTACATAATTTTCATAATTTCATGAATATTACGAATTATGAAATTAGTAATATTATAATTCACAAAAAATGGAAAAGATTACTTTAATTAAATAAAATTTTTTTTGATTGACTTCAAAAAAAAGATTGTCAGAACTTTCTCTAATATCAATTCTACTTTTTATTATTATTTAATTCTTTGAGCTATTTAAATATTTCTATAATATTTAGAGAACAGTATGAATATAATTAGTGATATGAAACTAAAAAGATGCTTTCTCTATTATATTATTTATTATTCAAATATCACTATTTTTGATAATTTTAGCAAAATATTAGGATATTCTGTATTTTTAATATTCAGTAACTTCTCAAATTGGCTTTAAATAAATCAGAAGTTAAAGTACTTTTGAATTTTTTGTTCAAAGTTCAAGATTCAATAATGAAAATTACTAAAAATTTTTGAAGCTTGCAATATAAAGTATATCACAAGTGCTTTAAAATTATACTTGGTCTTCTAGTGAAAAAATTCAACAAATTGTATTTCAAAGTACAAAGATAATTAATAATTTTTGTAGCATATATTTTAGTTTTTTGTGATATATTAAAGTTGACAATATGATTGCAATATATAAAACTGCAAGATGCAAAATATCATATCATATCTGCATAATTTTGTAGAATAATCTCAATAATATGAATTTTATATCAAAGAATATGAATCTTAGAACACCAAAAAATATATAACAAATTATAAACAAAGATCAAAACAAGAATTTTTCTATATACAATGTTAAAAATATCTTCTGAAAGTTTTCATAAGTATTTGAATACTAATTCTTCTGCAATTATTTTTAAAGAATAATTTTGAGTTATAATTAAATTAAAATTATTAAATTATTATAGAAACTTAAATATTTATAAATCTTGTATATATGTTTATATACATTATATTGATTTTGATTTCTTTATAATATGTTAATAATCTGTTACTGTCATTATTTTTATTTAATTTAATTTATCAAAAAATTTGACAGAGATAGTTATCAAAATTATTTAGTAATCCTGTTCCTCCAACTTTCTTCAAAATATTTTGAATAATATTTAATTAATATTTGAAAATTACTTTTTTCATGTTAGACAATATTTTTAATATATAGAATAATATAATCTGTAATGAACTCTATATACTTTATGCAAAGTTCAGTAGAATATATATAATAAATAGATAAGAATTATTTACTGAAAATAATTTAAAAGAATTTGAGGTAAAATAAGCAAAATTAATTAAATTTTAAAAAATTTAATAACTAATAATAAACTTTGAAAATGAATATAGGTTCTTATTGCTAATTGATCAATTGAATTTAAAAGAATCTTCTTATTATTATTCACTATAATATATAATTTTTCTAAATTACATAATTAATATTATCATATAATTCCAACAATTTACAAATATAGAGTCTTAAATAATTTTTTAACAAAAATATACAAAATACTTTACAAGTTATATGTGAAAAATCTATACTAATTATCAAATAAAAAGAATACAATACAGCAGATAATAAATATAATAAGTAAAGTTAGTTAATTGTGATCAATTTGTTATAAATTCTAAACTATACTTATTGGTAAAGTGCAAAGAATTGGCTCTAATAATAAGCAAAATAATTTATTATAAAACTATAGAATTTGATAAGATATTATATTATAGAAATTATTTTTGGATACTATTGAAGCAAAAGTGATTTTGTTAAGAAATTTGAAGAATTCATGCATTCAAACTTTATTGAAGAATTATCATATATAATCACTATGCTAAATATGTTTTTAATATATTATTACAAGAGTCCAAAAGTAAAAATTTTTATATAAAAATTATAATACAGTTCATTTGAAAAGTGACAAAATTCTGAGAATATCTGGAAATTTTTATAATAAAGAGTGATTTAGTAATGTTACAGTAACTTCAGTTGAAAACCAAAGCTATTATAAATTAAATAAAGATACTTGATACAGAAAGATAAATACAATTTTTGAAGAATAGTAAAATGTAATTTTAAATTTAGCAATTTTGAATGAATTATCTTTGTATTTTTTTTCAAAAGATATCACTCTTCTATAATTTTTTCAAGAATTAGCAAAGAATCCATATAATTTACTATAGTTTATTGATATAATATTATACTAAATAAACCAAAAAAATATAATTATTCTTATTTATACTATATCAAAGAGTATAATATTTTACTAGAATCTATAGATCAAGAGGTACATATTGTGTCAAGATTTGATAAAAAACTATTTTTTGTTAAATAAATATATATTTTGAAAAACTAATAGACAAAGAATTTTAAAGTTAAATTTGTACCTGTGGTAAATTTCACAGAAAAAAATAAATGATAATATATATAATTGATCTATATATTATTTATTTATTTAATTTATATTCAAAGAACTGTAATATACTAATTATTATAGTTTCTTTGGATTATACCACTCTAAAATTTCTATTTTTAGAGTTTTGCACAAATTTTGGATCAGTATAACCAAAAAATTAGCAACAATCAGCATATTTACTAATCATTATTAATTTAATGTCTATTAAATTTACTATTATAATTAGTTATCAACCTGAATAAATAAATCAAAATACTAATGTTCTATTTTGAATAAACTCTACTAATTATTAAAAATATTTAATTAATCAACAAAAAAAATAACTTTATTAATAATCTAAATATTTTGTCATATAAAATGGTCTACTTTATAAAATTAATTGATAAAAAGTTGTCATTATTCCACTTTGAGTATTAAAAAAACAGAAATAGAAATAGTAATAAAAAGAATGCATGAAAATTCATTATCTGAATACTTTAAATATAATAGAACTTATCAATGAATAATTATATAATATTGATAAAATGAAATAGAAACTGATATAAAAGATTTTGTAAAATTTTGCTTAACATCAATTTACTAAAAGTTAACAGTTTAAAGAACTTTTACATTCAAAGTTAAATAATTATTTGATTATATTATAATTGATCTAATTGGATTATATAAATAAACTTAACAAGAAAATTAATATGTTGTAATAGCAATAGATTATTTAATGAAATGGCCTGAAACAAAAGCAATATCCATTAAAGAAGCTATTATAGTTGTGAAATTTATTTTTGAAGAAATTATCTGCTGATACAGATATTCAAAAATATTACAATCAGACCAAGAAACAGAATTCACAGCACAAATAATAAAAAAACTTACTGATAAATTTAGAATACAACATAAATACTCAATATTATTATTTGCTTATAGAACTTTACAAAATAATACTACAAGACACAAACCATTTTTCCTAATGTATGGAAGAGAAGCAAGATTATGAATAGAACTACAATTTGAAATAGCACTTGAAAAAGAAGTTAAAATTGAAGAACAACTATTAATTATTTACCTGAATGAATCAATAACACCAAATGAAATATAAATTTCTCACAAGAAAAATCCAAAGAATGACATGATAGAAAAATATGAAAAATAAAACAATTTGAAATTGGAGACAAAGTTTTAATTTATAATATGAAATGACACATTGAACATGGAAATAAATTCAAGTCACAATGGATTGATGGATTATAATTATAGATTCTCCATTTGAGTTATGTAAAAAGAATCGTGTTAGTTGTCTTGTTAAATCTTATTAGTTATTTTCTTTTATCATAAAAATATACAGGTAGGTGGCCAATAAATACTGCAAAATGTATTCTCAGGTCTGTCACGATGTAAAAACATGTGCTTAGCATGACGTTAGACGTGATTTTCTTGTTACATGTACTTGAATGATTTGGATCTGAATTTTTTCGCAATTTAATAATTCGATTATTCGGATTATCCGAATTTCGCTTTTATCTGATTAAATTTGATTCAATTGATGTAGTTGATTGAATAAATAATGACTGATTCGAACCTCTACTCCTCAATATAACAACACCCAGATTTCGGCCAAAAGTATCGAAATCTAATTACATAAACCTTAGTAAGTATAGTATGGGATTGAAACCATGTGTAAAAACTGTAATTTCCCAACAGTCACTTATTGCTACATCACCATCACCATCTACACCATTCACTATCCTTTTGTTGGTACTGTAGAAACTGGTAATTCGTTAAGGCTTATTCAGATATCTGATGATTTAGAACAATTTTTCGCTTCTTCTTCATACTCACAAATTGATACTATTATCTCAATATCTTCCAATTCATCTCAATATTTTAATTCAAATGAAACTAACACGCACGTCGATGACGCTGAACAACAACAATGCGCATCTTCAAACCAAAATTTATGACTTTCGTCAGCCACAGCTTCCACCCTGATATCCGAGTGAATTTGGGTGAAATCCGGTCAAACTTTGTCAAGCGTAATTATAATCTGTGCTCGGTTCCTGATCACATGCACATGACAAACCAATAATGATTTCGCAAATTTTTGATCAGCCCGGCAAAACAAATCCGACACAAAAAAATATAGAATGTAAAATACGGGAAACAGACGTCTAAATTTAACTTTGAGCTCTAATAATAAATGTCGGGGAGGTAATTTACATATAACCTTGTACTCCACCCTAACCCTTACCCTAACCAAAACGTTAGAATCAACTTTTAATACAAGTAGAATTTCACAAATCAGAGTAAATATAATGTTTGTGAATGTAAATAGTTTATAATGATTTTCAGTGTTGACTGGAACGTATGGATGTCCAGATTTTTCCAGTTCCAATGAAGATTTCACTGGAAGAATTTTCCACTGGAACCAATACAATATAATGTCAACCAATAAAAATACGCGCATAGTGATTAATCAAAAAAAATTTCAATTTTCATTAAATATGTATTTTAATATTAATTTTTTATTATAATAAATCAATTTGATTTTAAAAATAATATTACCAATAGAGAACTTTAAAAAATATTTGAGAATACTGGTTCAAGCTATTTGGTTCTCTTGAAATTTCAAACACTGCACACGCTATTGAATGTAAGTATCATTCAGAAAGCGATAAAAAAATAGAACACGTATATCATCTCTATTAGCATTTTACCTTACTGTGTTTTTAATAGCGTTATATGTACATGTACTGTATAAAGTATTCATTATACATGTAATAAACTTAACAACTTCAATCTTTTAAATCGTTTAATTTTTCATGATCTCACCCGTTGTAATCATGCGAAGATGCTTTATAAATCGTTCCAAAGCCTCCTTTTGCAAGGTATTCAACTTTCAGAAATATGTATCGATTTTCTTGCATTCTTGTATTAGACTGTCGATATTTTTGTTTTCGTTAGACCATTCAGCTCCATAATTTGTTTGTGATGTTCAAAACACCCATCGCAGTACTCAATTTCTTTTTACAAACAATACATTTACTACGAGTATTGGAATCTATAATTTCTTTTGAGTTTCATTTTATAAATACGATTCAAATGATTTTGGTGGTGAGTCAATTTCTTTGTTAAATACAGCACCTTCATAGCTTCCATTTATGTTCGTAAATCAATTCTGTGTTAACATTAACATTATCATTATCATTGATACACCTTTTAAAATCAGTATGATGCAAATTTGCCAAAAAATAAATATGATAGACGTAGGTTAATTTGCGGCTTTCATTGAAATTATAATTACGTAAAGTAACTTGGTTGGACGGAGAATTGGAGCACCATCTCAAGTGGGATCATGTAGAAAATAAATTTAAAACGACGTGGAGAAACTGAAGTTGTGTTGAAATCATTACACAATTCAAAGCAAATTACATCCGAGTTTATAAACGAGGTAAAATGAACATCTTTTAAAGTGTAATTTTTGTTTTTCAATCTAACTTTTTCAGAATTAATTCAGATTGCTCTAAAGTGCAGTGATAGTTACTTTGAATATTATGGAATAACTAAAAACCCCAGCTACAAATGAATACGATAGTGATGGATTACGTATACTGTTGCGACTTTGCTTTGTTTTAGCGAATTAGAGGATTTATGCCGCAACAAGACTTTGGGAGAGATTATTAGATTGA